ATGTATATAATTATATTCTGTATTTTCGCTATTTTTCCTTTTTTATTATTATATATTGCAATTTATTGTAAAGTTTTTCATGTAAATTGGTAAAATCGGCACAAATATTCAAACAACATTGCCTCCGGTTCATATCGTGTATGAGTGTTTCTAATAAAATTGGCTGTATTTTGGCAAACATTTACTTATGGATTATTTTACTTACTACTTTATAATAGTATAGACACTTAAAAAAGAAAGTTCATGCATAGTGCATTTTAGACATTTTCTATTAGAAGTTTAGAAAATAAACGGATAGACTATTTAATTGCTTTTCTTCTTACACTTATAAAATAATAACAAACATTTAATATATTATATATATATGTGTATATATAAAATCTAATATTAATGGTTTAATACTAAGGTTTTTACTTCGCAGAACAGTTTCACTTATTATTTTATGGAAATTTTTCTTCTCCAATAATTTTTATTTATTGTGTTTTTTAGGTCTTAAATTCGTTCTTTTATTTCCAACATGAAGTTATAGCACGAAATATTAATGTTGTTTACTTTAACAGTGCTAAGTTAACCACAGTAGCAACAATAGCTTAACATTATCTTGAAGTGAAACCAAAAACATAGAAATATTTCTATGTTTCCATGTTTTTCTATGTTTCTGTTTCTATGTTTTTGTTGAAACACAGTGACGTTCTATGTTTCTATTTCTATGTTTTTGGTGAAACACAGTGGTGTTCACTTCTGTAATATAAATTTCATCTGCTAATCGCATATTTTGCTACAAAATCGCTGGTCCATTATTCATGTTTCAGCATTTCTTCTTTTTCAGTTTTTCTAGTCCATAATTTTGCTTATTTTTCACCATCCGCTTTGACTAAAAACCTTATTATCAGCTAATAATTAATTTATTTTAATCGGTTTAAAAATGACTTTACTTCAGTTCCATTATTTTAGCGCTACTGGCTTAGTTTTACTATTTCTCTTTTTTTTTTGTAAATCCTTACTCTATACTTATCTACTAAGATTACCAACAAAACTTAACACTGCATAAAATGCTTTTACTGAATAAAATTATTAATAAATATTTGAAAATCTAGACAACCAAAAAAGGATTTCAAACTGCCTGTATAAAATCTAGAATGCCTGTCACTACATAATTATTTCACGATTTTTGCTTTAAAAATTCACTAAAACTTATACGTGTACGTTCATTAGTTTTCAAATTTCATCTGCTTCTCCGTTTCAATACCTACATTTCGATTTATGCTCTTAAACATTTCCTAATTTTAAACTATTTTACTTAATTTTCGTTGCAATCCAAAACTCTTCGATTTTTCAATACAACACTTCATCGTGGTGTATTTCTCATGCATTGCATTAATTCACCACATGTTGGTATCGCATGTTATTGCTATGTTGGCCTGCGTATTAACTGCCATTAACATCGACAACTACGGGTAAAGGTGCACAAATGCCATTAACGCCGTTTGCGAAATGCGTCGGTGGTGAAGCTGGTGGTGTCAGAGGTGCGGGTAACATTTTGCCATGGCTAGTAACATTCAATGATTGAGCTAATGTCGACAAACAGGAGTTGTCATGCCCATTATATTTTTCAGTGTTACCATTCATTATTGTAGTATGCAATTCTGCGGTTTCCATTACATTCAACTGTTCATTGCCATTGTCGTTGACGTCGGTCAATGGTGGCGGTGGTGGTGGTAAGGAATCTAACTGATTCGCCTCAGTTAGACTATATTCATTCAGTTCTGTTATTTCTTCAGAAGTTGGTGGTGCTGGTAAACTCATTATGCTATCATAAGCATTTTCCAAATCTACTTCGCCATTAACAGAACTCACACTATGTACTTCACCGTTAACAGCCAGTACTTGTGGTGTTACATTGTCAGTGTTACAATTAATAACTTCAACTGCTTTTACTACTTGTTGTTCACACTCCTCAGCATCCTTTGTTGTATTACTTTCCTCTACTGCAGCTGTAATTGTCTCAGTTACAATTTGGTTTTGTTCTGCATTAACTGCATCAACTACTGGTTTATTTGGTGCATTAGCGACAGTTTCAATTTCCGCATCAACAACTACTTCGGCTGCTGAGATGTTTATTTCTATGCTATCAACAACAGCATTTGGTTTTAGTTCTTGTGGTGTAGTCACTTCTACCTCCTCCGGTTTCTGTTCATGCAATAGTTTGCCAGAATTCTTTGTTACCTCTAGTTCAGCATTATTATTGACTGACATTGCTGTTTGTTCCAGGCTATGTCCATTTTCTGACTTGTGGTCATTTTCATTTGTGTCATCAACAACTGTTTCCATGTCAAAGTTTAAATTAGCTGTTGCACTTACGTAGCCACTTTGTTCCACAGTGTATAATTCTTGGTTGCCATATGAATAGCGCTTATTAGAATCACTGGATGAAGTTGAACTCAAATCCGACTGAGACAAACCAGTGTTTGCGTGCTTTGCCAAACTAATTGCTTCCACATTTTCATTGTCTTCAGCGCTATTTTGTAACTGATTTAATTCTTCATGTTCTTCTACCTCCCTAATTTGTTGTAGATTCACTTTCTGTTCTGCAGCATTTGCGTTGCATTGCAATTCTACTGGTGGTGAATGTATCTGCACATGTTCATGATTTCTTAAAACTTTTTCATCCTCAGTTTTTACCCTCACCATACTGTCCTCACAGCCTGGCAATCTTTTATCACTCCCATCACCTACTGGACTCTCAGGTATAGTCTTCGAGTCCACACCCCGTGCAACTTCAACCACAAAGACGCCATCTTTGTCAGAGGTATTGTAGTGCATTTTCGTCTCACGTGCATCCCGTGAAATATCCTGCAAATAAAAATATATTTCATGTACTTTGAAGCGTGAAATACTTTATTTTTATGCAACATTTAACATTTATAAAATAAATTAAAATACATACTATATATATAAAAATCTTTTATTTTTTTTTTTATTTACAAATATGAGTTGTAAAGTGGTAAAATATTTGATGCAAAAAGGAGCACAAGTCAAAAAAAAAGTTTAATATTGAAGCTACATCAAGAGCTCATCGTGCATTTGGCGTCTGTCTGCGGACAGACAGACACACTATGACAGTTGAGTTAAATGTGAAATTGAGTAAATAAAATTTATATACATACACATGTGCCAAAAGAAAAAGAGTACATAAAAGTTACACAAAGTCATATATTTATAAGATTTATTTATATTGTAAATGCTAAAGAAGTAGACGTCTGTGTTGACGTTGACGCTGACGCTGACGTTGTCGTTGTCGTTGTCAACAAACAACAAAAATATTTGCATAGGTACAAAAGTAAATAGAACTAATTCACAACATCAAGAAATGCGCAAGCAAATACGTACAAGGAGCAAAAATGCTTTGAGGTACTTAAAATTTTTAACGACATTTGGTGCGTACAACAACAATAGCAGGCAAATGATTGCTAATATTATATTTACTCAGCCCACGGCTTCTACACCACCGACTTTGAACTTACGTGGCGTTCTTCCGTTTCAACGATCAGATGATTATTTTTCATAGTCATTTTCGTCACAGAACCATTGGGTGGCGCATAATTTATTTGGACGGACTTTAGGTAGGTTTGTTGGGTTTGTGTACAGGATTTAGTATCTTTGGTCTTGACTGGGGTACTGGCAGCTTTAGGCATCGACTCATCGACAATGTTTAGGGAATTACTGTTGGACGGTATATTTTCTAAATCGTTTGAGTTATTGCCTATACTTGGATTTGCTGTGGGGAATTCGTTTTTCCTATCAACCGATGGTGATTGTACAGACTGAAATGGGAGAAAAGAACGAAAAATAATATTTGAAACCCGAATGTTAATATTAAAAAAAAGTTGTGAGAGGAATTTTTCGATTTTGTTGTTTGTTAACTACTCTTTAAATAATAGACCCTTTTCAAAAAAAATTTCTTTTGTTATGTTGGTAACATACACCCTTTCTTGACATATGGTACAAATTTGAGCGCCATCTGTCAATTAGTTTGTTTACAGCAGCTGTTAATGTGACCAAAGACGGCACCACTGTCATCGCTCAGGCACCATATTCGCCAGATCTGGATCCGTGCGACTTTTTCCTGTTCTCGAAACTCAAATTTCCTCTTCGCGGTAAGCGTTTTGAGTCGATTGAATCGGTAAAAGAGAATTCGCTGAAGGAACTAAAAGTCATACCTGCACGGGCCTACGGAAAGTGTATGGAAGATTGGGTTAAGCTTTGAAATATGTGTATCGCTTCAGAAGGAGCATATTTTGAAGGAGATAAAATAAATTTGGAATAAAATTTAAATTTGTGCGTTTTATTTACAAAATCCGAGTACTTTTTGAGCAGAAGGTATATATTATATGTCATTTTTTATAATTCTTATCAATTTGTATCAATTTTAGTTTTTATTTAAAATAATATAAAAACTGTTCTTAATACTTGATACAAACCAAAAGGATCTTTAAAACTTCTGCAAAATCTTTACTTTTTCAAAATATTAATGACTTGGAGGGATTTTTCAATCAAGTTACTCTTTTAATACATTTAAGTGAAATTTTATATTCGATTGAAAAATCTGGAGCAAAATATATAACAGTCGAGATTAATTTATAACACTCTAGATATTTTGTCAGAGTAGCAAGATTTCACTAAAATTAACAGCTTTTTTATATGACATGAGAGATAAAATGGGATTTCATTGGATATTTAAAAAAAATATATTTATATGCTTAAAAAATATAAATGTCCTCAAACTCTACCACAAAGTTGTTAGATTTCTTTAGAAATGTTTGATTGGGCAACAAAATTTGACAGATCGAGAGTAAATTTAGATTGAATCCAGATTAAGCGATCGAAAAAGCTATTAGATGATTTTCATCAATGACATTACCTTCGGACTCAGGAGTGGTCTACTCGATTCGTTTTCGGAAATTTCGATGTCAAAAATACACCCTGCCCTGTTTAACGATAACATTAATATCGTTAAATGATCTCATAAATATCGGTTAACAGGGTGTTACCAATAATTTCAGATATCTCCATGAAATATATTATATTAGCACAAATAATTTAATTGAGTTTACCTTAAATAATAGTAATTAAAATATTTAGTTTTAGTCTATGTTGATGGCGAGTAAATATTTATATAAATTACCCCTATGAAGGTAAAAACCTTTTAGATAACATTTTGTTTTCGTGTGTTCTCATATATTTAAACTGACATTAAAATCCTGATATGCAGGTGTATATATTATTCTCTCATTGCGTTCAACCATTTAAGTGTGGAAAACCACACAGCGTAAATACGTAATGGCAAAGGACACATTTAAGCACTCAATGGAAAGCCACTGTAATAAATTACAAAATTGTAAATTAAAACACTTCCATAAAGTGTCAGTTAACTGTAAAGGTAAGTGCAGCATTGTCGACCATTTGCCAACGACAAGCATCCAGCTCTTACTTCAAATAGCCGTTCTCATCCTTGTCATCGTTGTCGTCAACTACAGAACCGAACCACAAACAACGTTCAGTTTATTTAAAAGCACATCATATACATTAAAATGGTTACAAGGTGATACTATAGGTAATATTTACAAATGTTAATGTAGTTACCAAAAGTCTGACCTGACCCAGTGGAGTTTGGTAAATGCAATTTCATCTCAACCTGTGCTAGGCTAATAAAAACTATTTGCGTAAACGAAAAGGATTGAGTAAGGACGACAATATGCAAAGTATTTACTTCAGATAAGAAGTTTGCAATTAAAATCAGCTTATTCAAGGAACAGCTGCTTTTAATTGAGACATTCATTTTTAAATGTTCTCAAGGTTTTACTTCGAGTAAACACTTTTTGTGTGACAGTTGGTATTAAATGAAAATTTTCCTTCACTTTTCACTACCTTAAAGTAACTGATATGTGTAATATTTTAAAAATTAATCTTTTTCATTAGTTTAATATACACGTATTCAGAGAATCTAAAGTTTTTGTTCAAGAAAATGTATTTTATTTAATTATTGAAACCATTTTACAAAGAGCTAAAGCTTTACTTACAATTATTTTAGACTTTTTATGCTTTTAAAATTTTCAAGGAATTATGTTTCTCTTAAGAAATATCAAAAGTTTTATTTCCATTCGTAATAATGTTTTGGTTTTATATATGCATAAAAACTATATAACAAATAATATAAGTAACTTGTGCAATAAGTTGCGAATCTGAGGATGGTTTTGGAGTTGGCCAAGATCCTCAACAAAGGAAGTCCCTAATTTATTTAATCAGCGATGCGTATATGCTGGACAATAACAAAACTGATGTGAGACATTTTCAACTATATCTTTGTAACTGGGACAGAATTGATTAAGTGGGAGATTCAATCTGTTATCTTGGTTATCTAATCGGTTGTGATCTGCTCACAAACCTACAATATGACTTTTATTTTTATGGTAAATCTCAATAAGAGTGCTGGATCTTTCTAATAAAACTTAGCTTCGCATCATTTATTAAACTGCTCCACACAGAAAGAATTCAATAAATGTTGCCCTGATGTCAGCAATATACCACCATTCATCAGATATTCCGATTGAGCATCTAATCTGGCTTGCAGCTGCTGAAAATTTCGAAATAGCTGGAAACCCAGACTAGAAAAATATTAAACTACGTCTATCGTCCTGGATATAAATTAGAAATAACTGAAGGACTTTAAGGCAGTCTGATTTTCTGAGAATATGTTTATGTTCTTATTGAATGGATTGTCCACTTCCAAACATGCTATAGCTTCTCTTATAGCTTTCACCTTTGCCTGAATAACAATGCAATGATCAATAAGTCAAGGCATGAAGATTCAGGAGAAAAATACTTTATCGTATTATTTTTAGTATATATTTCATCGGTCGACTTTATGTGAAAACAAAAAAAGGAAGTATTACCATGCTAAAATAAAACCTTGTTCTACGTTTTTGCTTGAACAAACGCTGCATAGAGTCTTAAGCACTTTTGAAAAAATAAAATTGGATCACATACGATTTTCAAATAAAAATGTTTGATAACATTAATGCTATAAGCATATCACTGAACTGATTTGGGAAATATTCCATGATGATGTAGGCTTAAGAGTGCTATCCACGTATTGAGACTTGTATTACTTAAATAGGGCTCATAACGCAATCATAAGTATGCTACTGAGGTTCTATTAAGATGATTTCAGTAAATTAAAAGAAGGAAGGTATGAAATTATAAAATAAAAACAAATAGATTGGCCGCCTTTGATACAGAAATCGAAGATATACTTTGGTGACTAACTTATATCGAATAAATAAATAAAACTGGGTGAAATTGATTAGATACTATTAGTTGTTGAAGTAATTAGAGACAGTTAAATACTCTGGATCCAATAAGTGGGCATAACATGCATATCTTCAGACCACAACGAGAAATCCACCGAACTTAATAATAAAAATATATATTAACAGTTTAGGGGTCTGTAAATATCGACTGATATATCGAAAGTCACAGTTTTATTAATTAAATATTAAAAGCAGTAATCCAGTCAGATTAGAATGACTTTATTATTAATAATGTCAATTTTCTTACGACACTATATTTATAGCATTGCAAATACTATTCTTAGGTACTATATTTATAGTATCGAGAAAGCTGTATAAATCGAAAATCTGGTAAATAATAGAAATCGGAATTGTTAATGTTTTAAAAATATTTTATATCAAAAGTTATGGAACTTAGAAATTTAATATTTAATTAAATTGTGTGAGGTCTGAATCTAAAACTAAATGACATTCTGAGGTTTGGCAACAATATAAATTTGTTCAGGTTAACTGAGTTGATTCCCTCCAGAGATGGCACAATAGATTATATAGGTTGTAGTGGATCACTTTTTTTCTTCTAATAATAACTTTAAACCTAGAGTCAGCTTAAAAATTCATCTTTTGTATCACCTCTCTTAAATTACGGGGATATCTTATTTAGAATAATAGATCATATAGGTCGCATTGCATCTTTTTTTCTTCTAAGAATAATAATGAAAATTAAATATAAATGCTCTTAAATATCTTAACTTTGAACCAAGAGTCAGTTCAAAAATTGATCATTTGGGTCACTTCTTAAATTCCGGGGTTATCTAATTTAGAACTTAGTACTAGTACCATAACTAACTGTTCAATTATACTAAGTGCTATTATCAACTCATACTAAATGGTTTGAAATACTTTTATGCATATTTTTAATAAACACTAGTTTCAAAAGTTTCTTTTTGAAAAATATATATTTTATTATTGCGAATATTTTGTTCATAATAAAAGTATATTCCACAAAGCAATCGCCTTTAGTAAAATAGTTAAGGAATAATAGTTATTTACCACAAATGTTGTACTGCTTTCAGAGCTTAAAAGTAACAATACCACAAGAAAACTAATTTTAAAAATATTTTCGAAAAGTTTAAGTCAAGAAGAAACTTAAAAATATAAAAATAATAAAAGAAAATATTTTTTTCTTTTAACCAAGTTTAAGAATTTTTCTGTGGTACTTAAGAATAATGTTTTTATTTTTGTAAAATGTTATAAGAAGAATTGTATGTATTCTACTTAGGCCGATTATTCACTCAGTGAACATTTTGGTTACGAATGTGTGCATCTCGCATCGATAGTCCACAGACCCACAGATAGAGAGTACTATTTTTCTAATAAGGCTAGAAGAATAAGAAACTATGTAGATTTAAAAAAAAACGAATTCAGTGAACAATTGAAAATATATAAGAACATATTAAGTTAATTCGTCTTCTGGAAGAAATCAAAAATAGCTTAAAACGATGGTGATATATAGTATATTCAATAGATGATTTTGTGCTTTGCTTTTATTTAAGCTAACAAATGGTTCAAATAGACCGTACACATTATAATGCGCCATTCCAGAGAATCATATTTTAGTAAAGTCCACAATTTTAAGAATCTGTTAACATTATTATATATATATGGAGATTACTATTGATTACTATTTACATATATTAAAATATGGTAACCCTTTTGGAAAGAAGACTAATGCAATATTCTTTGCTATACATTATGTGTAGATTGCATTGTCGAGAGAGTAGATCCATGAAGAAAAGGGGTTAGAAAAAAGGGGTCAGACGTAAAGCTTAATAAAACCAAATAAGCACCACTTGATACTGTTTGGAGATTTAATTATAGTGAGTAACGCCATAGATCTCAATCTGGTACCACAAGGATTAAGTCGAGCAGTTTTGGATGTCTTAATTAAGGTTGAACACTTTAATAATATTATCGTGCTGGCTGTGATTACGACCTAAAATTACGCGAGTAGAATAACTATCTTCATTGCTCTATATGACGAGTTGTAAAACTGATTAAGTTAAGACCCACAGCTTTAGCTGTTCTGATGAATAGAGATTGGCTCCTTTAATAGGAGTTTAGTGCTAGCTTTAGTTATAAACCAAAATTACGCGGATAGAATTACTGTTTTCATCAGTTTCATTCGATATATAGCTGTATTTTTCAATGGAGTGCTGTGCCACAAAAAACTGCAGAAGTATTTGAAGGGCCTTCTCTTCTACCTAAAGAGGAAGGTATAGTTCATCGATAGTATACATTAAGACTGAAAAGTTTTCGGAAATTCTCATTTAAAATTCGCGCGCTGTATATTTTTCGATATTTTAAGTTTATGTAGTTTGGCAGCACTGTCCTTAATTACTATGCCAAAAATGAGCTCGATCTGTCAGACAGTTCGTTTACGGCAGCTGTTGAAACCAGTTCACCTCAGTAGTGCGTTGCGAAATGTCTTCGACGGTCGTACGACCGTCCTGGAAGGCTTTGTACCACTCATAAACTTGAGTTTTCGATAAAACTGATTCCCCATAAGCCTTTTGTAGCATTCGCAACGATTCTGCACACGAAATTTCGTTCGAAACACAAAATTTGATGCAAACTCTTTGTTCAATATTTTTTTCCATTGTTTTTTTCGCAACGCCCTACTGAGGTGAACTGGTTTCAACAGCTGCCGTAAACGAACTGTCTGACAGATCGCGCTCATTTTTGGCATAGTAATTAAGGACAGTGCTGCCAAACTACATAAACTTAAAATATCGAAAAATATACAGCGCGCGAATTTTAAATGAGAATTTCCGAAAACTTTTCGGTCTTAATGTAGTACATTAATTTGTTCCTGTGGATTTAATATAAACCCATTATAATAATATAGCCAATATAATCTCAAAGGGGACATTTATCATAGCACTATACTGATACGTATGTTAAAAACACCGTAATCTAGAGCTCTAATCGCGTTCAAACACTATAAACACTTTCAAGGGTGTGGTCTATTCCTCGATTCCTCATTAAAAACGCTACTGTAACAAGTCTGTACAATTTCTACTCTTAGTAAATATGTGACAAATAATGTGTGATGTGAGAAATAAAAATGTCACTTTGTAAACTGTCACCTCGATTTCTTCCTTTTATGCCACTTAATAACCAGCGAAGTTCGTAGCGATTTCATCAGTTCAATCAATGTAATTTTATTTCTTGGTAATTTATGCTCTTTGTTGAAGTGCAAATTTATTAGCAAACGAAGTGGTTGTGCAGAAATATATCACAGAACGCACAATAAAATCTTGGAATATATACTCACATTAACGCCAATAGAAGAAATGCACTTTTAATATAAAAATGCGCACATACAAATAAATGCATATATATATATACATATACTAACACATATGCATTTATATTTTTATATATAAATATATAAAATCTTATATGTATATCTATTGAAAAATGAGTGGAGCGGAGCATACACCACTCGATAGGATATAAAAAGTTTGCTTCAATTCCCACGAACATTGCATTTGGTTTAAATTTTTCAAGAATGTTAGAAGGACATAGAGAAAGAAGAAGAAGAACGCAATGTTAAGGTTCTTCATTTTTAATTTCATTTCCAGAAAGTGCATAATAAAATGAAAGAAAAATCTTGCCACTTTCATCCGAAAATAAAAATAAAAAAATAAAAGTAACAGAAGGGAACAGGATTCTATTCTTTATTTGTGACACAATAGAATTCAATTCGGGTGGAAAAAAACTAAGGGAAATAATGGTAATTTCATTTGATATTTTTAGTATTGGCAGCAGTACGTCGGAGCAAAAAACACAAGTTCACTTGGAGCTGCAAAAGCAGGGAAAATCGTAGCTATTAAATGAAATCTATACTATACATGAATTGAAGTGCAGTGTAATAAAAATGCTGGAATATTAAAGTAAGATCATTCTTACTTCAAGCGCAGTAAATCCAGCACATATGTAGGTGTCAGCGCACACGATATGTGACAAATCTGGTAGTGATTGTGACCTGTACTGTATAAAATTCCCAATCGCAGAATGTGTGGGTTGATTGTATTCCATTTCATCTCAATTTTTTATGATTTTTCGCTTATATGACATTAACCTTTCAATATTTCAAGTCGTAGTACTTGTGACCCCATTGGGTATGATTATATTTTATATAGTATTGAGTAAAGATAAGGTACAAAACTTTATTTCTAAAGTCTTAGTGAAAAGTTTTACAATATTATTACATATTTTCAGTACGACTGTAAAGAAATGCTAATTACCTCGCCTTTCTCGCCACCATCGCCATCGTAAGCCGCTTTTCCATTGCCCTGTTGTGTATCTCCATTTTCTGAATCACTCGAATTCGATTGGTATTTTTTATAAAGGTAACTGCACCATTGTGAAGAGCATGAAAATAAAAGAAAAATATATATAAATTTTAGTTTGACCCAAATTGCATTACATGAAATGTAAAATGTACCGGGAGAAGGAGGAGGAGGAGGAGCAGGAGTGAGGAGTAAGGAGTGGAAGAGCAGGAGTATTCTCGTATAATGCAAATAGCATAAAAGTTTTTTACATTAAAATGCGGTAACTTGGAATTGTTGCACACACACTAAACCGATTAATGGGATTAAACTTTTCCTCAATTCAACATTTGCATTTGCATTCAATTGTGGCGAAACTTTTTACATTTAAACTTCTTTATCGTCAATAATGCAAGCTTAAATCTGCTGCCCTAAAATACTTTTTCCTCCCCCTCTGCAGGATTTACGTAGTATACAAGTATTACTTTTTATTAAGTTGCAACCAAATTTAACTTTATGATTCAATTTAAGCCAAAACTGTCAAGGCTTATCAATTTTTACTCGCAAAAGTAAAATAATTTTTATTCAAAAGTTTTTTTTTTACATTTTTCATCTTATTGCATTAGATTTTGTAGATTTAAGCAATTCCATTTTTAAATTTCTAAAAGATTTTTATTTTTTCTTCTTTTTGTGTAAGCACAACTACGTAATATGTGATATCCTTCATGGTAGAGTGGTTCGAGTGGTAAATTTTTTGATGAAATACCTACTACTCAAATATTGTCATCGTCCTTGATATATTTTCCAGCATTCGCTATATCGCCAAGTAAATATTTGTTTAAAAAAGAAAATATATTGCAATATACATACGACTAAAGCATCCTACTAAAAAGATTTTTAAAATGAATAAAATAATCAAGTAAGTGGTTTACGAATTTATTAATTAATTATTAAGGAACTAATATGTGTACATATCAAGACGCGATACAGTTTTCGAATGCTTCAGATAACTCAGTCACTCCCATTTTACGACTAGTAACTACTTCTTGAAGTATGAATATATTCTTCAAATTAAGAATCAATTCTATGAAGGCGTACCGCCTTCAAATGAAAATTTAATGTTATTTAATCGTATTATCCTTAATTAGAATAGAATAGATTAGAATAGAATAGAAATAAACAGGGTACAAGCTCCCAATGGAGCAGAGCACTGCGACCAGATTGATCTTTTGTGCTGCAACTGACCCTAACCGAACAGAAGACATTCCGCTTTTCGGATGAAAGCCAGAATGTCGTCCGTTGAGGACCTCCTAATGTCAGAAGGAGAGAGCAGCCCTCCTCCCAGTGACCTCCTCCTAGCCCAGATCAAGGCTGGGCAGTCACAGAGAATGTGACTGGTAGTATCGTCTGCTTCTAAGCAGAGTCGACAATTCGTCTCCTCGGACAGACCCATCTTATTAAGGTGATAACGCAGTCCATGGTGACCCGTTAAATATCCTGCCAGCAATCTCAAGTCTGATCTGCTAAGGAGGGATGCCTTGCCATAACTATATGGGTGAACCAGCTCTTTAGCCTGACGGTTACCTCGATTGTCGCACCAGTAGCGATCTCTTTCGGCTAAGATCCATTTTGTTTTCATAACTATTTAATATTACTTTTGTTAATTATATTCCAGCATTGTTTTGATTTGGTTTATCTTAATAAGAATAAAGTACACTCAGAAAAATATGTTAGTTAGAACAATTTTGGCTCATGTGGCAAAGAAGACATGAAAACCAATATGTGGTATGGTTGAATCAACATGATATGTCGAGTATCAACATTTTGACCTCTGATTTAGTTAAAATCTGTTTAAATCAACCAAATTATTTTTCTAAGTGTACTGTTATTATGCTATATTTAGACTATTGTACTTAACTCGTCCAATACATAACAATATGTGTCAATTTTTATACAAAATCCATACAAAACCCATATAATAATATGCTAAATAAGTTCGAAAAGGCTGATTATGAGTTTATCTAAGATGAGATAAATACAAAATTCTCTATTTAAACTATTTTGTATGATACTATGATTATTATATTATCTAATCGTTTTCTAATCGTTTTTTTTTTCAAATAAAATAAATAAAATTAAATCAAAATTTAACTCAGATCAAAGTATTTAAATTAAATTAAATGAAATAAATTTATAAAGAGGTTTTTTCGAACAGTAGTGTACTACAACAACAAAAATTCATTTTTATATTATTTTAATTAATTGAATTTTTGGCTGACCATACAGCTGTTTCGAGTATTGCCAAATACCCATCATCAGTAGTCTTAGAAATAATTCTTGTATTTAATTATTCGTAAATAATTATTTTTGAGATTGCAAGTACCAGGAATCGAACTCGGGTCCTGCCAAATGTGAAGCTCAGAATCAGCGCACCTCAACCAACTGATCCAAAGCTGTTATTTTTAATTATTTCAGCACTATTATTTTGTCATTTCTAACCATAAAAATATATTTGACTGTAATATTTTGTTCAAAATAAATCAATAAAAAACCAACATAATTCATTTGTTCAACATAATACAACAGAAATATCTATTGAATAAATAAAATAAATTGGATTCGATATAAATTACTTCCTGAAAGAAGTCAATGCTTTCAATAAATTCCGTATAATGCACCTGTTGTTCGATATTATTTTGGAAGACTTCCATACACTTGCAGGTCATTGTACTACAAATTGTATTCCAAATAAATTTAAATCTGTTGCCTTGGTAAACGCAAACAAATTACACGTAATTGCATTGAAATGTTGGCATTCAATCAAGCCGAAACAAATCTTAGTTTTGCTCAGCTAAGAGCAATTACTGGAGATATTTTAAAAATTCCAAGGCATAAAATCCTTTTCAGTCACCACTCAAACGCCTAACGAAGCATGTCAGCTTCATTCATTCTGTATTTGCCTAAAGCCACCACCGCAACTTTAAGCTTTTCCCACATACAGCCTTTTGCCTACTTTTTGTTTTCTTTTGCTGACATTGGCACTGGGACTGGGACGGGCACTGAGACTGGCACTGACAATGTCTTTACCCCCATGCGATTCTTGTCAAGCATATTTGGCAGTTACTCTGCTACGGCAGTTTAGTTTTTTGTGAGTAGTCAGTTTAGTCCTTCGACAAATCCATTTTGTATCTCACAAACAAAGCACTTTTCTTACAATTTCAACATTTGTTTTTATTTTGTTTTTTGTTTTATTTTTTGTTTTTTTGTTTTGTATTTTCTTTTCTTTATATTATTGTTTTCATTTTGTGCTGATATTGTGAAATATAATAAATCTTCTAGGTACTTTCCTGTGCCACATAAATGATATATTTTTGTTGCTTTAATGGCAACTTAAGTGCATACAGAACGACCGCAAGGCAAAGTTAGTAAAATTCATTTTTGCTGGTAAACCAATGAGGTCTTCATCTAAACCCTGGTATGACTACTACCATAAAAACTCATTCCAACCACTACAACAACTGAATGCGGTTTGATAAAGCCAAGCCAAATATAAGAGTGTGTAAGCTAAAAAGGTGTCCAAATCCTAATTTGTAGCAAAAAATAAGAAATAAAAGAAAATATTTGGGAAAAAATTGAATAAAAAAATTGCCTCACAAATACAGATTCCTAGCAAAACAGCATATGAGTGTAGTACCAGCTTCACAACTTCATATGGAAACAAATTGCACAACATAATCCCGAGAATTAGTGACGCTCTGTGGTTATCACCCAAACAACATTAGTGAACAGCTAAAAGCAGCTTGTTTCTTTATTTTTTATAATATTTTTTTTTTGCTGCTCAGATTTTCCTTTGCCAGGTGATATTACACATGCCATATATTGTAATTTATACATAAATATAAATATAAATGTGTATCTAATGTTACACAATAAAGAACATATATACTTTTGCCACAATATGGCAACATTTGCACTATAATATGCGTATTATGAGGAATATTGTTAGAGGTGCACAATGTCGGTTGATGGAAAGCTTAACATTGTGTAAATGTATCTGAAAAAAATTAGTTGCCTTATGCATTCAAATGAGCTGCTTAGTGCATTTCCCAAAAGGATTAAGGGCTTTCTTGTAATTTATGTACATTACGCTTACTTAAACAGAAGTTTGTTAGCGAAATATGGAGTAAAGTATTTAAGCTTAAAAAGCATTGAAACTATTAAGATTTGAATAATCTTATTTGGAAAGTTTAAGTTTAATATATTCTTCTAGTATCATATACTTATAGATTTTAAATATTACAGTTGCGTGTAGAAATTCTACGATATATAGGAAATGAAAAAAGTAAAGAAATATCTTTAAATAAAGTGCAACCCGCAAGGCAGTCGCCGACCTGGCGCTCCTTCAAGAACATGGCGAAGGACAATTGATGCTGACCTAACATCAACGCGCTATTCATGGATACGGTTCAGAGTAATTGTTGAGATCCTATGCTCCACTGGTAGTTAATGGAACAAAAAAGAAAAAGAAGAAGACTAAATCTTTAAAATATGTACTACACACTTTAGTGAAAGTCTGTGGAAATCATGGAATTCAGAACGTTCCGAAGGATTTTATCAGTAAAAGCAATATGACTAACGAGAAGTATTTCGTTAATAATTCTTTTACAGGGATATAAATACACGAACTCTGAATTCCATAGTAATCTTTTAAATGTAACAGGCGTAAATAAAAGTAAGAAATGTTCTGATTTAAATGGTATGGTTGGTTTGTTGGTTACAGAAATGACTGTTCATTAGCGCTTCCGCACAGTTTTATTTCAGCACCTCGTCAACAAGTTGATTGTCCAGCTATTTGTCTGTCCAACACGATTAGATCTAGTCTGTATGGCTTAAAAACCTCTGATGTTTACTGATATTAAAACTCTTTAACACCCTAACATTATTAAAAAGAATCTTACTTAATATAGCTGGTAATAATTTTCTTTGTTCGTATATACCAATGTACTTCATAGCAGCACTTCATTAGTTTCTTAACAAATTGTGCAGTATAAAATTAATGTACTGAATTAATTATTTATTAAGTATTGAATTAGATTAATGTATGGAATCAGTTATATTTTGCAGACATATAGGAGAAAGTCTTTAATCACGTCTTTAATCACGTCTTTAATCACTTTTTTTCTCGTTTACTTTTCGGTTGCAATATAGTTTTATACCATATCATTTCCACAATTCAATTATTGAAACAATTTGTTTAAAT